GATCAATGGAAACTAGATTAATCTCAACGAAGTCTCTGTGGCGCAATTGGTTAGCGCGTTCGGCTGTTAACCGAAAGGTTGGTGGTTCGAGCCCACCCAGGGACGATACATTTTGTCTTTTGAAGATAATATTAGTGATTATTAGTAAACAAGAGATATCCGATCATTGGAAACTGGTTAATGTCAACCAAGTCTCTGTGGGGTAATCGGTCAGCGCGTTCGGCTGTTAACCGAAAGGTTGGTAGTTCGAGGCCACCAAGGGATGATTCGTTTTGTCTTTTGAAGATAATATTGGTAATTATTACTAAATTACCGTTATACGATAAAAAGAAACTAGTTACATGTCATTCAAGTCTCCGTGGTGCAATCGGTAAGCGCAATTGGCTGTTAACCGAAAGGTTGGTGGTTGTCGATCCTACCCAGGCAGAGACGATTCTTTTAGCACTTAAAAGATAATATTAGTGATTATTACTAGATAACCGATGTATGACCAATAGAAACTAGATTAATTTCATCCAAGTCTCTGTGGCGCAATCGGTTAGCGCGTTCGGCTGTTAACCGAAAGGTTGGTGGTTCGAGCCCACCCAGGGACGATTCATTTTGTCTTTTGAAGATAACATTAGTTATTTTAAGCAAAACACCTATATCCGATCAATGGAAACTAGATTAATTTCATCCAAGTCTCTGTGGCGCAATCGGTCAGCGCGTTCGGCTGTTAACCGAAAGGTTGGTGGTTCGAGCCCATCCAGGGACGATTCATTTTGTCTTTTGAAGATAACATTAGTTATTTTAAGCAAAGCACCTATATCCGATCAATGGAAACTAGATTAATGTCATCCAAGTCTCTGTGGCGCAATCGGTCAGCGCGTTCGGCTGTTAACCGAAAGGTTGGTGGTTCAAGGCCACCCAGTGACGATTTTTTTTTTTTTTTTTTTTTTTTTTTTGACTTTTGAAGATAATATTAGTGATTATTACCTAAATTATCCAATCCTTAACAGGAATGATTTTTTTGGCGACTTTTGGAATGCAAAGATTAGCGCCCACGCTTTCAGTTACTGAAAAACTAGCGCGCCCGCGGGGAAAGGCGTAAGCGAGCCTTGAGAAGAAACTGCACGCAAAGGTGCAATTATGATAATATGATATGTACAATAATTCAGCAAACATGATGATATGTGATGATATGTTATTCATTAGATATGGCCTACAATTTCAACAAGTATACTCACGCCAACATTGACATGCTGAACAAACCGTACGACTATGATAGTATCATGCACTATGGCAAGTATGGGTTTTCGATTAATGGCAAGCCGACCTTACAAGCTCTGGGAGATCGTAGCAGAAATATAGGCCAGAGAAACAGTCTTAGTCCAACCGACATCCTGGAGCTGAATGCTTTGTATGACTGTAAAAGTAAGTCAATCTTTTAGTCTGTCTCCCGCAGTACTGGTGCAAGCCATTCAGAGTGGCTTTGTTACGTTTACCTAAAACGTATGGAACTTTTGTTTGAAGTTCTTACAAGTTGGTACACTATAAATAAAATCATGCATGGTCGGGAAAACTGAACCTAGGAGAAAATTGGCTATAGAGGCTTTATACCATCACTTGATGGCAGCCATGACAGCAGGCACAACAATAGGGTCTTTTCCCCTGGGAAACTGAATTCTTACTCCAAATTGTTCCTGCCTCCTTTCATGGCTGCCGTCACGGGATGGTGCAAAGCTTTTAAAGTGACCATATGATTCAAGTCTGAAAGGTTATCACTATGTTCAGAATCTTGGTCATTGAGCTCTAAGCATAACTTACTAAAAAAGCTAACAAAAATCAGTTGTCACTGGTGGCCGGCTCTTTATCTATTTACAAACATTATTTTCACAACTAACGGATATCATCTAGCTCGCAATCAACCTGCTAGAAAATTATGACCATCAATTATAACCATAGTATTACAATATATCGATCAACTTATTCAGTTATATGCCTGATTCCGTCAATTGTTGTATGAATATAGCTAAAAGTGGAGGATGGAGTGACTGGTCTAGCTATAGCCCATGCGACTATTCGTGCTATAAGTATCGCCAAAGGTTTTGCACAGCAGAACACAGAAGTAATTGTCCAGAAGCTAACTTTTATGGAATTCAAACGGATATGAAACGCTGTCCTCACGAAGAATGCAATGGTGAGATATTAGAGAGTTTTAGATTGACGTGAACACGTCTTCATCTTTTTCCTTTATATTGCTTTAGCTATTGCAAACTTTCTCACCACACACAAAGTAATCTTTCTTGGCTTTTTCCTACGATTACATTGGACATTGTAGCTGGTTGATCTTTGTCAGTTGCCAGGCAAAATTTCACATTAATAATACATTAAATTTTATTTATAAATTAAAGTTAAAGTACAAAAGGCTACTGAGCCATGATGGTTGATATAACAAAAGAACCTGTGATGACCAAATCTTTTGTTAGAGGCCACCAAAATAGCGACTATCGCTTAATAGCATCCTGCTATGGACGGCGCGGTTCAATAGACCTCTACCTAGAGTATCATTTCTTTGTTTAACGATGGCGCATGACAAGACACATGAATATGGGCATCTTATTCTCATGATGAAAGACACTAGATAAATAAACAAGAGACTGGCATTGGGTATAAAATACTAAAACATTACACGTAAGGTAAAAGGATCCATCCGACTTGATTCACGTTGTGGATGTCTTAATTGAGTAACACTGAATACTAACTTGTTTAATAGCTCCTCTTGATGGTCACTGGGGTCGGTGGTCGTCGTGGGGATCCTGCAGCACGACATGTGGAGAAGGAAGCAAGACTCGAACGAGAATTTGTGACGACCCAGTTCCCAAGAATGGCGGCAAAAATTGTGTTGGATCCAACACGGAACAACGTTATTGCAAAGTTCGATCCTGTGGCTTGGGTAAATGAATTATCGATAAATAAATAGATAAATAAATACAGTATAATGAATAAATTCAAACCAACTATCGAGTTTAGCATGAAACAGTGAAGTGTGATTATCTAACAAAAGGTACCTTTAATCTAACTTAACAAAAGGAGCCAGGTGACTTAAATGGTTTCCCTATTAAAATTCTAGCCTTCTGGAATCGTTGATATGAATATAATAAAGCTTATTTTGTTTGTCATTTCAGGGCCTGATGACTGCGAGTTTGACAACTTTTGCTTCTGGACCCAAGACAAGTCTGACACCAATCCCCATCCCTGGGCCCTCAACAAGGGGACAACACCCAGTGCCAATACTGGACCTAAAGGAGACCATACAAGTGGATCAGGTTATTTCATGGCTATGTATTTGTTAGTTATGAACCAAATTAACAACAGATCCAATCATTGATCACGGCGTTGGGCTGCAATCCCATCGAGGTCGCAGATTATTTTTCTCCGATTTGTTCTTCACATGATCCAGCTGACGAATTAATATTATTGTTACCTCTTGACACATGCTGTCTAATATTTAGTAAATTGATTAATTTGTCGTTCAAAGGAAGCTACATCTTTATCGAGGCCTCAGCCCCAGCTGCCACAGGAAATACAGCCAGACTACTTAGCAAAATCTTTCCTGCAACTTCCGGACGCTGTATGAGCTTCTGGTACAGCATGTATGGTGGTGGAATGGGTGATCTTAACGTCTACCTCAAAGATCCAGAGACTGGCGCCATGGAAAAGATATGGAGCAAATCAGGTGATCAAGGCCAAGATTGGAAAAATGCAGAAGTTACGATCAAGAGAGCAGCTAATTACAAGGTAGCTTTTAAAGCTTTTACGTGTCATTGCATATAACGTATTTCTAAAATCGTTAATAATCTTTGTTTTTCAATGCAGGTGGTGTTTGAGGCAGTGAGAGGTGTCGACTTTAGAAGTGACATAGCCCTGGATGATGTGACATTCAAAGATGGCAGTTGTGCAGGTCTTCGACCTACAATAGCACTTCCTACAACAAAAGTGGTTCCTACTACTTCCCCCACCAAGGCACCTATATCTCCTCCTGGTAAAAAAACAACACTTTTTATTGAAAAAGAATTGTTCAGAATATTATTTACTGAAGTTACTCTTATAATATTTTTTGAAAGCTGATGTCTGTAATTTTGGTACCGCAAGTGGGACGCTGTGTACATGGATCAATGACCCAACTAATCCTAAAACACCGGACAATTATTATCAGTTTAATTGGTGGACTCATGTTGGTCCCACGCCAACTAGTAAAACCGGACCATCTTCTGGCCATGGAGGATCAGGTTAATTACTTTTAGCGAATTTCATCCATATACCATCCATGTATCTGCTTACACCCAACAAATAATCCACCTACCATCCATGCATTTATATTCAACCACCCACCCATCCACCTACCATCCATGCATCTATATACACCCATCCATTCATCCTCCTACCATCCATGCATCTATATACACTCATCCATTCATCCTCCTACCATCCATGCATCTATATACACCCATCCATTCATCCTCCTACCATTCATGCATCTATATACACTCATCCATTCATCCACCTACCATCCACGAATCTATATATACACCCAACCATTCACCCACCTACCATCCATTTTTCTTTATACACACCCATCCATCCATTCCTCGAGATTGTCTTCATCATTGGTATTATCGCAATTAGTCATTTACTCTGATTCATTTGATCCCAAAAGGCTACTATCTTTACATCGAGACATCCAGTCCCTTCCAGCAAGGCATGAAGGGAAGGTTAATGAGCAAACAGTACAAGGCTTCTTCTTCCATGTGCTTTGACTTCTGGTATTTCATGTATGGTACATCAGTTGATACTCTGACAGTCTATATGGAAAATAGTTCAGGTCGTACCAAACTGTGGACAAGAGATGGTAACCAAGGCAACGACTGGTTTGAAGCCAAGATTCCTCTATCAAGCAATACAGACTTCAAGGTAACAGAACAAGATCTTACATTTATCTTTTATTATTAGCCTACCCTATCTATACCGGAATAAAGTAAATAATAATTAAAAGCAAAAAAAAAAAAAAAAAAAAAAAAAAAAA